TGTGTGTGTGTGTGTCTATATGTATATATATATATATATATATATATATATATATATATATATATATATATATATATATATATATATATATATATATATATATATATATATATATATATATATATATATATATATATATATATATATATATATATATATATATATATATATATATATATAGTATATAAGTTGTTTGCTACTGTAAATGTTCATAAATTCATAAATGTCCAGTTTTAGATTTACACATTGATAAAAATGACACTTTTCTCAGAGAAACAAACACTGTGGTTGTAATATTTGCATATCTTAAAGCTCACATTAGCTGGTTTTAGATCTATTAAAGGGATAGTTCACCCAAAAACTGAATATTCTGTCGTTGTTTACTCTGCCTTTACTCATAACAAACACGTCTGAGTTTGTTTCTTCTGTTGAACACAAAAGAAGATATTTTGAAGACAGCTGGAAGCCATTGATTGCCATGTTATCTGTTTATCCTAGTGAAGTCAATGGTTTCATGGTTTCTTCAAAATATCTTGATTTGTGTTCAATATAAAGGTTTGGAAGCACTAAAGGGTCTGTAGTGAATACTTTTACATTTTACAGTGAAATATGGCTTTAAGATATGCCACAGAGTCTAAAACCAGCTTCCAAAAATGGTTTTATTAATAGATTGAAATTCTGGATTATTAAAAATGGACAAAATAACTAAACTTCTTATGTAATTTGGAAAGTACCACATCCACAAAACCCTTTTTCATTGATCTAACTGATTCCCTGACTTCGACAGTAATCCCAAAGCTCCTAAGACATCCCAACTGCTAAAAAAAAATGCTTAGTGTACATGGTTAATGTTTGATGTTAATTCACTTGCACATAGTTTTATGTATAATTCAGTGCTCCCCTGTTTAATCTCTAGAAAACAACTTCCTCAAAAGTTGCCATTACACAATAACTATGATTGTGCAGTCACTGTGTGTGGGAGGTGAAAGAGTGAATCAGCTGCCTTCAGTTTCAGACGTAGACGAAAGCAAGTTGAACTGATGGTTTAGCTGATCGTTATAGCCCCCCTTTGGCCACTGTGGGTATTGCATTAAGTACTGATATGTAGCAAAAGTTATACATTTTATGCACATACTGTATACATACAAAAATACATCCCTTTGTTTAAATATATGTATTGTAGCAGACTGAAGAAGGTCAGGAAGCGTTTAGCAGTCAAAACTTGTCTTTTATTGAACTTTTGTACGTTGCAGACAGAGTAATCCTTTTAGCTCTTCACATAAAACAACTCTCTCTCGTCAACCAAAGAAAACCCCAGATACCTGTCAATCTCTCGAAAACCCGCCCCCTCCCTCTCAAGTGCGCAGACTCCTTTTTCCCTTAATCCAGCCCCTTAAAGCCCTACATTACCCAACATAAATACACGCCAAACTACAACAACCAGGAACTGTATTTAAACCTTTTCTAGCATGCTACACTGCCCCCTCCTCACAAAGTTCCTCGACCTCGAGGGGAACAAACATAGTCCTGGGAGACGTCTTGGTGGCCTCTTGACTCTCTG